CGGAATTGGATCGTATTCAAACGGGATAACTTATCAACACAACACAACAAATGTGGGTGAGGTGGATGGTGTGATTCCGGCACGGAATTCCGGAATCGGAACCAATTCCCGCAATTCCGGAATCGGTAGGAATTCTGTGCAATTCCGGAATCGGTGGGAATTCCGTGCAATTCCGGAATTCGGTCGAACTCGATCAATCTTGACTGGGTGTCTTATGTTGTGTGTCGATCGAGTTCCCGGAATTGGACGGAATCGATTCCGGTGCGGAACTGATTCCTCCAATGTTCAACATCGCGGAATAGGATGCATTCTCTGAAATAAATAAAAAAAACGTTTCTTATATGACTACTACTATAGAAACAAGGCAAATATTCATCATTCTATTCTCGTTCTTTTCTTTTTCTTTTTTCGTTCTTCTACTCGCCCATAACATTGTTTTTAGTCGTTCTTTTATTCTCTTTGTATTTCATTAACTCCACGTGGTTAGTTGGTTATATTTACGTTCTCGATAAAGACACGATAGACAAAACTATTCTCTTTTTCATCATTTATATCTGAAATGACGACAAAACCACTTGCTATTATAACAGGAGCGGCATCAGGAATTGGTAATGCTGTAGCTAGACAATTGGCAAAAACTCATTCACTTCTACTGATTGATCGAGCCGAATTTAAAGACAATATTGAAGCAGAAACATTTCAAATCGATGTTTCCAATGCAAATGAATGGCACAAAGTGACAGATGCAATTAAAGAACGACCTATCGATTTTATTATGCTTAATGCAGGTATTGGATTAAAACCTTCATGGACTGATCCAGATGGATGGCGTAAATTAATGGATACAAATTTATTTGGCGTAGTCAATGGAATTGCAGCTATTCTTCCGTTAATTGAAAATAAAAAAGCAACAATTGTCATTACTGGATCCAAACAAGGAATTACTAATCCACCTGGAAATCCAGCATATAATGCTTCAAAAGCTGCTGTTAAATCATTGGCAGAACATCTTTCTTATGATCTTCGTAAGACAAACATCGATGTATATCTTCTTATTCCAGGATATACATATACTGGAATGACTCAAGGTGCATCGACAAGTAAACCGGATTCAGCATGGACTGCAGATCAAGTTGCTTCTTATATGTTTGAAAAAATTGAACAAAAACAATTTTATATTCTCTGTCCAGATAATAGTGTTACTAATGAAATAGATCATAAACGTATGGCTTGGAATTTACGTGATATTACTGAAGGTCGTCCAGCTCTTTCAAGATGGCGAGAAGAAACTGCTGATGAATTTGAAAAATACATGAAACAATAAACTCTAACTTATTCTTTTTTTTTCTTCTCTTACTTACTAGGGTGTCTCTGAAATATATATTAAAAACTATAACAAGAAATGATAAAAAAAATAAAGTACACATTTCATTATCTATATTTATGTATAATATTCTGCTCATGTAATCTTTGATAATCTTGTTCTCTTAATCCTAGTAAAATATTGACTGATTCATCTCTTCGATGTGTATCCATCATAACAAAATATCTTGGATATTGTTGTTTTGTAGGTCCACTGTAAATAGGATAATTATTAGTGCTACCAAACCTAGCATCTAGCATATATACTTTTCGCCATGAAGTACAATGGAAATCTCGATTGATGATATCGGCAGCAACTTGATTCTTTCGAATGTTACCATCATCAGTGGATAAATAAGCATTATAATATTTTAATGATTTTTCACTTTGTTTTGTATACATTTCATGTATCAATTGAGCTAAAGACGAAAGAGTTGGTGGCTCTTGTGTTATTACTTTGCTATAAAGCCAAAATGGAAATGAACCAAAATAATGAAGTACTGCCGATGAATAAGATCCTACAAAACTTGATCGTCCATTGAATGATTGAAGAATTTTGATTTTATTTTTCTCAGTAAATGATGTTTGTGTAGCACTAGCAATAGTTAAAATCATGTGAGCATAAAGAGCATCATAAGTACTAATATAATCAACCGTTGATGAAAGATTTTTCATAGCTTCTGCTTTGATATTTTTCAATTCATTCGTAGAAAAATGGTAAACTTTAGTAATAACACGTTGTTGTTGTTGAACTTGGATAAATGCTGATGTAGATGATGGAATAATATTTCGATTAAAAACACAATCAGATGGACGAGTAATGGAATTGTTTAAAAGTTCATCTGATGATAAAAGAACAAATGATTTATCGAACATTGGATGATGTTTTGGTGTATTTCCACCAGATGCCCAAGTATTAATAAAATGAGCTGCACTTTGTGCATCCATTAAACAATGAAATGCCGAAATCGATAAAATAACTGATCCACATTGAAGACGTGTTATTTGTATAGACATCATTGGTCCTGTCCAATCACGAGAAGCTGGAACTTCTAAATCCGATGAATTTATATTGTTGTAATCAAATTCATCATCATCTATTGCTCGATTAATAAAATAATCCAATGTTTGATCTTGACATTGTGCTTCTGTAAATAAAACACCTTCATTATTTAAATGAATAGTAGCATTACCATTTGAATCTTCTATAATTCGACCAGCTAAAATTGAGAAATGATTGAGTGTATCCGATAATGTCGATTGTAATTCAAGTGATGGCATGAATTTATCTTTCGATATATTCAATTTATTTGCATATATCCATATCATATGAATTGGAAAAGATTTTGTATTTGATTCCACTGCCATACAAGTAATTGATTCAGTTTCATTCTTAGGTGGATTTGAGCATTTAATTAGAATTGATGAAGCTTTAATGATGGTATACATGATGATGAAGATAGATAGAATACTTTTTGACGAATAAAAACAGTGTATAAATTAGAATGAAAGAGTGATAACTACAAGCACGTTCCTATTATTTGAATAGTGATATCTTATTAACCAATGAAAGTAGAGCAACAGGATTCTTTAATTCTGATAAAATAATGTAATAAATTTAGAAAAATGAACAATAGATATACTGTTTTACATTCGAATATAGATGATTATATAATGGATGCGAACACATAGATGTCAGATACTAACAATAGATATATTGAAGAATACTACGTAAGACTAAATCATTCTGTTCTCTATATATAACAGTATTTAAGCAAATCTTTTAATTTTATTCTTTTTATATGTACGAACAAACACTAAACAAAATTCACAATACACACAACATCAGAGACTGAATTTGATAAGTCTAAACTGTTTGTGTAAAATTTGTTTGATTGATTTCTAAAGGTTTGATTGAATTGTTAATTATAACATCGGTTGGATAAATCGGGCAGGCTCGAATACATCTAGGAACTTGTTTTCTCAATACTTTTCTAAATTCACTCGATTTATAAACGTAGATATAGAAGGTAAACACGTAATTAAAATGATAAAAAATCAAAACAACTTGACCAAGAAAATTTTCGATTGCAATTCGTTTAGCATCTTTTGCAATATGACTAGTCATATCAAGATAAATATTTTGAAAACCAAATGGAATTCCGGATATTGCAAGAATTATAAGTTGTGGAATTAACATTGCACGAACTTGTTTTGCAAGCTTCTCATGAGATCTATGGATATTATTCAAACGAAGATTTTTTACTGTACCTAATATACAATAAGTAATCACGCCGACAGGACCTAGACCATAGACAAGAGGTGTAAATATATAAGTAGTGAGTGTTGTATATAAACTAGGTTTAAAATTACAAACACCATTTGTAATTCCCGTAAAGAAAATGATTGGTATATAGAACAGGAACCAAAAGATTACGGTACAAACAATAACTAATCGAACAATACGAAGAGAACCCCAACGATTTCGAATGATAGCACTTCTTGAAGTACCAACATATTGATCAAAAGCAGCCCAACATGGAAAAGAAATAGCTGCTACTGTTGTTACATAACGTAAATAAGTATGTTCACGACAAGCAGCTTCATTTGTATTCATTAATGAAACATTGAAACCATAAACAAGAATCATTTGAATATAAATAGTTGGTAGATGAATGCCAGTCATAATGGCACCTGCTAATAAATATGTAAGATTTGTATTTTGTCGAAATGTACGTTTTTGGGTTATGACTATAACAATTAAAATCGATCCAGTTATACCTAAGATCAACATAGGTATAGCAAAAATATAATTGAGTAGACGCGTTAAGAAATTGAATGTTTCTTCCACTAACATTTTTTATTTAATGAGTAAAAACATTTGCTCTACGCAAATATATAATCTCATTTGAATGTCATATCTCTCTCTTCGTACTATTTTCAAAATGACTCCTTGTGATAAGTCTACATTCATGACAATTGTGAGTGATGATAAAAAACCATCAAAGTCTTTATCAAATCTTTTTGATAAAACTCTGAAACGACACGAATTATGATGATTATTAACTCATTACTATAATGGTTTGTTCATTCCGCATGATTTCTGTTTAAGTTCAAACTATATTCAAAAGTCATTTCTAAACTCCGTCATTTCATCCAGACCGTGGTAAATCATGTTATCTCTTTACCAAACTATAGATATGCAATTAAATACATGCTAATATGAAATAAATACTATGTATATAATACAACCCATGTTCAGAAAATCCCCGTTTAATCACTAATTTCTATAGTCTGATATATATTGTAAATTGTAATTTGAGAAATGGTCTAAGATTTATAAACATAGAACATGTTTTTAAAATAAAGGTAACAAAATGTTTGTTAATATTTCATATTCATCTATTTTTAATAATATTTTTTGAATAATGATGTTAAGCTTTGGATTATAACTTAATCTTTGTCTACTTTAAAGCGAAAAACATTTCTCATTATCTCAAATGCAACACATTTTTATCATCATACTTAGAATTTCATCTATTAATTAAAATTCTAATTTCTTACAAACTTTTAGTTGATTACCATATTAAGGAGCGAATTGTCCGTAAAATACAAATTGGAAAAAAAGTATTTCAGTACTTTAACTTACATGTATAGACACATCATCATTATGCAAGCAGAGTTTACACAGTTAATATCAGGATTGCCAGATGAAAAACAAGTTGACGGGCTTTTTCATTAGCATAATGTTTCATTCTATTTTATTTATTTTATCAAACACTATCTTAAAAAACATTTCATAACAAAAACACCAATAGTTGCAGAAGGAAAAAGGTGTGTTGTATATGTAGTAATAATTTATAGTACATCGGAAGATTTGATATCAATACTTACATCTTTCGTTATCCTTATATAAATTGGAATTTGATCTAAATCTAACACATTGCCAGTAGTTAAGGGTATCATTTTTTTTCTACACACCACCTTTTTTTGTCAAGAACACAATCCAATATTTTTATGATTCAAATCAATCAACACGACTAACAATGTTTCCCATAATGTATTTGAAAAGATGATTTCGCAATTGAATATTATCAGAACAATTCATCTTACTGTAAAAGTTCGATTGAATACAGTTTTCTTCATAAAAATGATCTTTTCCATTAGTATCCCCCGATTCATATCCAAACAAAGTTTACATCTGATATGTTTTAATATTTCAATGTCCTTAACGAATAATTAGGTTGTTGTTCGGCGTGAAATCAATGATAGATAGAAGGCTCATTTATGTATATTTTCATGAATTTTGTCAATAGAACATGTATTATATTCATCAACATCTTTACTGAATCCAATTTATTAGTTAGCACATCATCACAATTTATTAATTCAACAAAAAAACAAAATTATACACACAAATTCATATATTATGTCAATACAGAGTAGTTACGTGTATTTGCGAATATTATTAATAATCACCACAGAGAAAAGGATATGGTGGACACATACGACAATCCGTAACGCATTCATTTCTTTTATTTTGACAATAACAAACAACCTGTTGATGACGATATTTCTCTCCATCAGCGAAATCGTTTTCTGTTAAACCCCAAACAGTGTCATCGAAAGTTCCACTGTATAAATCCTTGTTCGATTGAATTTTATATCTAAATATATCGACAATGCGTTAATATACGTTAACAGTAAGAAAATAACTCACTTTTCTTTATTGTAATTAATTGAGTTCGATTTGACAGCAGATAAACATACAATTGTAAGAAGAAGAACGACAGTTAAAGTAATCATGTTTTGTTACTTATTGCAGTTGAATGAAGAGGCAAAGAAAAAGTCGTGTCTATTTATAGCACGAAAAGTTATTTTTTTTGTTGAATTCGACGAAAAAGGTCAATATTCGTCTGTGCGAGCAATTCTCCACACCAATTAAGAATTTAAGAAAAAGAGAATGTTTCGTCATGGAATTTTCTATTTTTCTAATCTGACGATCAATCGTCTAATTGAACGTCAGAATGTGCATAGATGATATAACGTGTGCGAGAGAGATTATTGTCTTCCATATAATATTCCAAAAACAATATATCTAAGATTGTTTTATGAAAAATCTGAAAACTACATTAGAATTTTTTATCTATCTACTTTTTTTACAAAAGATAACTCACAAAAAGTAAATGGTAAATTGAACGTTTATTACTCTGAGACTTATTTTCTAATCATGTGATAGAAGTGGCATTACACTTCGAATAGATTCGATCTTACTATGTACTTTCACTGTAAGGTTGAGCTTCATTATCTTATTTCTTCAACAGGAGTGTTCTAACTGAGTAAATATTTTCATTCCGCAGTAAGAGCGTTTTCTAGCTTTGGGTCAAAAGAATTAGATCAGTTGGAAACTACTAGCTGTTAGACAAATTTAAATATAACGAGAAACAATTTCAGAAAGAGACTTTTAGTCTAACAGTGACGTTCACTATTATTATTCGATATTTTCAAATTGAAAAATTATGATACTATTAACAATCAGTATACACAACTGGCTCTGTTGAAAAGAGTTCTCATTCTATATTAGAATTGTGATTAATTTCAGGCATCTCCTTCCACTGTATGGATTCTTTTCACATTCGTTGTATACTCATATAAATAATCCTTAAGAACCTCTACTCAAAAACAAAATCAATTTTCGTCGAAATTGAGATAAATCCATGAAATGATAGGCCATCTTCAGATCCTTCAGAAATTATATCTTTTTTCTCAACTTTTTTTCTGTCATCAGATGTTAAGGTAAAATGCATGGCAGAGTCCTTTTCTTTTAAAATTAAACATTGCTTTTATGATATACATAGACATTGATATAATTTAATACCGATTTTTTAATTTTTCCTGGAATCATTATAGTCCTATCATATTTTGAAAATATTATTCAGTTTGAATGTATGGAAGCTGAGATTGAGTCTTGAAGAAGTGGCCTTCATTTTTCAATGTAGAATAAAAATAAAATATCATTCCAAGAATCTACTGTAAGACAGCAACGTCTGTTATAATTAGAGTTGAAAATAGAATTTCTATCGTTTTCTTTAAATGGCCTATATATGAAATGAAGTAATGACGTCAATCAGTAATATTGTTAATTTTTCTAATGTATTGATAACGATACAATTTCCGATTAGAGTGGGATATTAAAAAACTGTTTATTTCCATGGTTTCTTTTCACATCATCAGATTGCTTCTGAAATAATTGTTTGTTATTCATCTAATGTATGTTAAAGTAATTTAAATATGAAAAAAGACATACTAATAGATGTATATAATAAAAATTTTTTTTGTATAATTCATCAATTGGATATAAGTTTTTGTACATTCACGCAACAACATAAATTTGATATAAATGTTATCTTATTATTCTAAAAACAACACGCAATCAAATATTTATTTTTACTTTTGATCATCTCAGTATAAAAAAATGCATAAGACATATGTACCTACACCTTTAAACTGCACATAAACTAACAAAGAAAGTAGAGCATATACCAATTTGAAAATGAAAATTTACTTGACAACTCTAAGAAATAAAAAGGATGTGTTAATGTTTTCCATTAAGTTGATGAAAAAAATTAATATGTGAGATGCAAGAGGTATATAATGTTGCATATTAGACACCTTCCATTTCATTGTAAACGTATTAGTTATGGTTTGGTCAAAAATTTCATTAGCACTTCTGTTTGTTCTGTTTGCACAATTAGCTGCACAAAATACACGATCATGTCATATGTCTGTAATGGTTGGTCAGCAGTTTCAATGTGCTAATACAACTTGTTTACCATTCGCTACTGTCACTGTTTTGGATGTTCATGCTTGTCAAATAATTTGTCTGACTGAAGACCATTGCCAAGCAGCTAGTTTTCATCGGTTAACTTCAAATTGTGAACTATTTTATGGTGTATCGGATAACAATACTAATATGTTGGCTAATGAACAGACTACAACGATGATGGTCATTTCTAACACACGAATAGTATCAGGTTAGTATCAATAAATCTTATATAGAGAGGTAATAATGAGTAAGTATAGATAAAATTAAATGAATTTCTGTTCTATAAATCAATCATATGAAATGAACAGAACTTACATATAAGGGCAGAAGTATTTTAATTTAAGTACTAAAATTTTTGAAATCGTTCAGATCATTCAGTAGTATTTCTATATTATACTAAATTTAACACAAAATTTTCTAGTGACTACTGTCAATAGTGTATGTCTTAATCAAACATATTATTCAACTGGCTCTTATCCGATAGCAGTAGCAATAGGCGATGTTAATAATGATAATAAACGTGATATTATAGTTGCAGACTATAACTCAAATACTGTCGGTGTTCTGATCAATAGAAACAATGGTACATTTTTTCCTGAAACTTCTTATTATATCGGTGCTTTTGCAATCTCAATTGCATTAGCTGATATGAATAATGATAATTATTCCGATATTATCATTGCATGTTATAATTGGAACTATATTAATATTCTAATTAATGCAGGCAATGGTACATTTCTTCCCCTTCAAAATTACTCAACTGGTTCATCTCCGTATTCAGTAGCGGTAGCTGACGTGAATAACGACAATAAACCTGATATTATTTCTGGAAATTATGGTTCAAACAATGTTGCGGTTTTACTCAATACAGGTAATGGTATTTTTCTGAATAAAACTACATATTCCGTTGGTACTTATCCACGATCAATAGCAGTAGTTGATGTCAATAATGATAATAATCCCGATATTATTGCTGCATGTTATGGTTCAAACAATGTTGTTGTTCTTTTCAATACTGGTAACGGTACTTTTTTGCCTCAAACATCATATGCTGTTGGAAGTTCTCCATACTCCGTAGCCGTAGCCGATATTAATAACGACAACAAAGCAGACATCGTCGTCGCAAATTTTAATTCGAGTACAATTAGTATTCTTTTCAACACAGGTAGTAGTACTTTTTTTCCTCAAACTACGTATCTCGTTGGAACATTTCCGTACTCAGTGGCAGTAGCTGATATTAATAGCGACAACAAACCTGATATTATCGTTGCAAATTCTGGCACGAACACGATTAGTATTCTTCTTAACATGGGTGGTGGTACCTTTCAGAATCAAATTACTTACTCAACTGGCTCTAATCCACATTCAGTTGCCGTAGCCGATGTAAATTATGACAATAAACCTGATATTATTGTCGCAAATAGTGGTTCAAGCACTGTCAGCGTTCTCTTACAATGTTAAAACTCATATATAAACTAAAACTCATTTATTCATTAATATTTCATAATTTCATTAAATCATTGCTCACTTAATATTAAGGCTTTTTACAAATCTTTTCGCTATATATCTTTAAATAAAATATAATAAACTTCAACAATTTCAGCTTATGATATCTTTCTCTGCTTGATATGTTTCATGTACAATATATAAGTCTATGAATGAATATTTATAATAAACATATTTAATACCATTTTTTAAAATTATCGCGATTTCGTATAAAACAAACAGCAGGTGAAATAATATATTCTGATATTAATGTTAATCCACGAAGTGAACCAATAATTTTTGTCAAAATATAGATAAATGTACGTCGGTCGTTCTACTTTTGAATAAATACATGTTAGAGATTTACATAGTGCAAAATATTTGTCATAAGATATATTATATGTTAATTCTTCTAACATAATACGATTCACCGTATATTTAATTGTTCAATTTGATTGAAAAACTATCGTGTAGTCATTCAGAGTGATGCTGTATCATAATCGTATTGTTTATAATCGTACAAATGGAAAGCTGTTTCTAGAGCTGGTAATAACTGATTACCAAATATCATTCAGTTAATTAAATGGTACTGTTAATTCGAATTCTTTTAATACTATTCAATTTACTCGAATATCAAGCGCTAGAAAAAATCAAGATTTATCAATAATTACAACAAGTAGATACGACTGTAATTCAGATGAAATAAGATGTAAAGTTTTTTAGAGGCAAAAATTGTCTTCCGGTACGATTTCTCGTTCTCCTGAAGATATCTATAAAAATAATATGGAAAATAATTATCTTTTAAATAGCATTGTAATTAACGATAAGAAGCATTCTCAAGAACACATTCTTATATGTATTAATAAAAGTGACGAGACTGATTGTATTCAAATAGCAAAGTTTGATAAACAATAGTTGCCTTTCATAGATAATTATCTCTTTCTAAATGCATTTTTTTCCATTCAAAAAAAAATATGAGCAAAACAGTAAGAAAAGAGTATATCATATTTCTATTCAATAACTGTTTTCACATGAAGAAGTATTAAATAGAAATTTTTGTATTCTATTGTTTCCAGTATCAGCAACAAACAAATTCCAATATTTATCGAATTTAATACCTCTTGGCGAAAATAGTCTATCTGCTTCGGTACCCATATGACCACTAATTCCAACAACGATAGATTCTGCTTCTTGTGCAAATGGTATCCATTTTAAAACTTGATCACCGGAAAAACTTGATATAAACATTATCATTTGATTTTCTATTGGCTGTAGTAGAATTGCTATGGGAGAATGTAATTGCTCATCACTAAAAGCTACAGTTATTCCTTCCTTAGCTCCATTAAGCCATTTTTGAATTCGATGATTTTGATGATCACAAATATAAATTGCACCTATTTCATAAATTTCATCGACATAAATTTCATAAGGAGAATTCAATTGATTTAATTCCGAGCCTTGACCATTTTCACCAGCTGCAACAATTCCATAATTTAAATTTAGAAAGTATTTGATAATTCGATGATGACCAGTATCCGAAATATAAACAGTATTATTTTTATCAACATAAAGTCCTGGTTGACCATCAAGTTTTAAATTATCATAGAAACTGTCTGTGATATTACTTCCATCAATCGTTGTTATTAAATCACCATTTGAAGTCAATACTTGAACTTCATCACCGAACGAATCAGCAATGTAGATATTATCAAATTGATCAATAAAAACACTCGTTATTTTTGTTTTTGGTGGTAATATAATATCTGTTCCGTTATTAAAAAATTTTCGTAAACGATGATTTTCAGTATCAGCAACTATAACATTATCTTGACTATCAATAGCAAGATTGTATGGATCATATACATCGGAAGTAACTGTAATTCCATTTAAGTTCCATTCGGCAGAAGCACAAGGTACTTGAGGAGTAGAAGGAATACTTGAGGTTGTAGTTGAGATTGTTGTTGATGTTGTAGTCGTCGTCGTGGTAGTTGAAGTTATCGTTGATGTCGTAGTCGTTGTGGAAGTTGTAGTCGAGGTTGAAGTTGAAGTTATCATTGATGTTGTAGTCGTTGTGGAAGTTGAAGTTGTCGTTGATTGATAGGTCATTGTTGCTGTTGTTGAATCTATTGTCGAAGTTGAGATAAATGTTGTTTCTACTGATTATAAATAGAAAAGAAGACTGACCTGATAAAGGTTCATGTTTTTCACGTTTTACATAATAAACCGTTAATGTAATTGCAATCGTTGCTAATACGATACCTAACAAAATCGCCAGCAAATATTTTACTTTACGATTTTTCAATGATAAGCATTGATTTCCTTGTGACAATACGTTAGATGTTGCTGAATTTTGATTAGATTCTTCATCAGCCATTGAATTTGTTGTTTGTTGTGCGAATGGATTGATGAAACTAAATTTCTTTTCATTATGTAAAGTTTGTTGTGATGTTGCAAAAATATTTTCATTATCTGCTATATTAAATGGTGCTATATTAACAGGATTCGATGAACATTTTACCTAAGTAGAGAAAAAACGTGTTGATTGTAATCTTCTCAGATCTATTCTAGTCTGATGAATCACCTGATGTTGTTTTATATTGTTCAACTGTTGTTTTGATGAACAATATCGACAGAGAACATCTAAATTTTGCAAATTTTGTCTTTTATTATCTAGTGTAAAATAGAAAAAAAATTGGATTGATCTTATTATATTTAATAATTCATCAATAGTACCAATATTATTTGTATTTGATTGTATATTATACTGCTGTTTAAAAGCTTCTACAGCACTCTTAACTGCATGATTTGAAGTCAATTGCTCTACAGTCAGAGGTTTCTTTGTTATTGGACTTGTACCATGTTGATTGATCCAATCAGTTATTGTTTTTCTTTCATACGTATAACCATCTTTAGCTGTCACTGGATCATTGAATAACTCTAATGTTATTGGACAAATTAAATATTGTTGTTGGTCTAGAGAAGACATGTTATATGTTACTTTGTATTTTTAAAAGAATAGCACTGTAATGTATGATGAAATATAAAAATATATTTCTTATCTCTCTTACGTTGCACGAGTTCTTTGCCTCTTTTTTTGCTTTCATAATCTTTGCTCTACTTTTATCTCCATTTTGAAACCATTAACAAAGCATATTTTATATAAATATATAAAAGAACGATCATCATGATATTCTCTTTTACTACATATCTATACATCAACTGATTATGGAGCAGCCTTAAAAATGTATTTTGCATATCATCAGAGTCAGATAGGGCTCGTAACTTATATTTCGTATAGGTGAATGCATGAATATCGTCAATGTTATATATACTATGTACATCTCTCGAAGATTTTAATTATATTTTCAAATAATTCTCAATTAAAAATCATACTGCCTAATTTAGGATGTGGTGTGTGTCTGTGTGAGACGACAAGCCACACTCACACCCCACCCTCAAGATGGCTTGCTATGACATAATGTGTGCTTCTACAACAGCGTACATGTTTTCTCTTGATTCGTTGAACTCCTTAAAATACCTACCAAAAATACGACACCGAGAGACACTAGCAGATGGTGACACAACCATCAATAAGAAAGTTTTTTTTTTAAATACATGTTTTTGCGATTTATTTAATAGAAGATCAATCACTATACGTGCGAACATAGTTTCTTACTATGGCTTTTTTAGAAACCAAGTGGAGATCCTTATTTGTGATCAGGAGTATCATATTCTCACATTTTGCATACATCATCGTGTCGCTAAACTTCAATCAATCAAGCCGTTGCTTCTACCTATTTGTACAAGAAAGACATTTTGTCGTTGCCTTTTTTCTTCTATCTTTCTTTTTTCGAACGCGTAGTTGCACCATCAAAAGAAAAATGCGACACACGTGAAGTAAATACGTATTTCAAAAGAAGAAATAAAAGCAACAACACATCACACATTTCAACAGTTTCTATCGGAGACAAACAAAATCATGTCAAGCTTGGTTACATTACCGGTAGAGCTTGTCTATCGAATTTTAGACCATCAGAGTGATTTCACTCTACTGTGTTCTATGCGAAATGTATGCCAGCGACTCAACCAAATCGTTGACACCTACGATCGATATCAGGTAAGATTTTTTCTTATTATACCCGGCTAATGTTCATCAATCTTCAAATTTTTTTCTTCGCCCTTACGATCTATAAACTTTATAAAATAGTAGGCAATGAGCCTCTTGTGAGATAGGCTAATCTATCAATCCACAGGTCGATGATTCCGCCTTCGAGATCCGACAGGAAAACCATACGAAAATGGAAGCAGTAATCCTAGTCGGAAAGCACCGTACGCGGATCCTGGTACGTCCTAGCTAGTCCTCTATCGTAAAAACTTCGAAAGGCTATCTTATGCTTGCTACATTCCGACAGACACTCACAGAATCCCACTCGCATCCAGGCAAGAACACAGCGGTTTCTGACGGACTACCAGCGGAAACGCATAATCTTAACTTCAAAATACAACTTTCTAGCACGGAAAAGGCAAGAACATAATGAAACCAGAATCTCGCATATACGGCCCGATTTTTCGACGCATTTTCGTGAATTTTTCTGCAGCAAATACTAAACTGAATCGCTTACAATTCAACCCACAACCAATCATTTGGTTTTATTTGTTTCCTGCTGTTTCCCTTGGAATTCAAAGCGTCTCGGTGAAGTCCAACAAGTTCCCGTAAAATTCCTCGCATTCTCATTAAAACAGCAACCAATGCGGCGAAAACTAGCTAAAAAAGTACAAATGTGCAACTGATTCTTCATCATTGTTCATATATAATATTATCAGAAAAATGTATGAGTCTAGACCCGGTGTAAAGTAGAGGTGCGGCTGTGGGTGTCTTATTCTTCCGTATATCCCCGCCAACTTCCACAACCATCCACCCCAATCCACCGATATACACTCACACTCACACCCACGCCCACACCCTCAACAAAGCGTCTTCTGAAAGCGAAGTACTCATTACCAAGCAACGCTAAACCAGAGTAGGCTTCTTCAATTCATTACTCAAGATTCCTTACGCAACTAATCATCAATTCGTCAGAAGCCCCTCCCTTTCTTCACTTAATCCTTTGTCTTTGACAATACCATTCCGACACGATGATGAGGATGTCTGTGTATTCATGACAAATACGTCATAAGTTTAATCTTCTATCACTCACAACTTCCAATTGCTTTCAATGTGTAGAAAACTCCATAAAAACCATACTATCTCAGATCCATATCTTCAAAACACCGATGCAGAACGCGACGTAATAACAACATCCATCTAAAATCCCTCTCATATCAATTTCCAAAAAAACGAATGTGAACACTCACCAAACTGGATATCTCATACAACCAAATTAGAGACGAAGGTGCACCACATCTCGGTGATGCACCATAAAATAACATACTAATATTTATTCACTCTTTACTTATTACATTTAACTATTTGTACTTTCTCATATAGACACTCACCATATTGAATCTCCGAAACAACTACATCGGAGCTGAAGGAGCACAACATCTCGGTGATGCACTTCGAAATAACACAGTAATACTCATTCACTCTTCATCTATTTCATTTAACTATT